TCTGAAACGGGCTTTCTTCTCAGCGGCGAGCCGTGCCGGGCAGGGGACTGCAGAGCCCTGAGGTCTGAGCCGAGGAGGAGGAGGAGGTTCCCGGACTCCGTCCTCCAGGCCGCAGGAATTCCAGCCGGCACGGTGCTGATGGGGCGGAGGAGGCTGGGCTCTGGTCAGGAGCCGCTGAAGCCCAGCCGGAACAGATAGCGAGCGCGTGCAGCGGGTCTCCCCTGGCCTACTCCCTCTCCCTGTCTCCCGGCGCTCGGTGTGCATGTGTGTGTGTGCGTGTGTGTGTGGAGCCGCAGCCAGCAGGCTTGAATAGAAACGCCGTGAGGTTCGAGCCAGACCCCAGGGTGGGGGGGGGGGCCTTTATCAGAGGGCGCATGAGTGTGTGCACTGTGTAGTATCTTAGCAGGGGGTCTCCTGCCCCCCCCCAGCACACACACACACACGCCTCACAGGGGCCGCTGTGAGCATTCCAGCGCGTTCGTTTCCGCCACCCCCGACGCCGGCCTGTACCAAGGCAGCGCGGCCCGGGGAGACAGGGCTGCGCGGTGGCCAGGGGGAAGCACGCTGAAAGGGAGTGGATGATTTATTACAGCTGCTGCTGGCTCGCACCAATAATTGTTGACACATGGGCGGACGGGAGGGGTGTGAGCAGCCTTTTGTTTCGGAGGCGGGGGGGCAGCTGTGGAAAGCTGAAGTGCAGGGTGATTGCGCTGGAAGGAGACCCGTGAGGAATGGGCTTCTTTTTTGGGGCTTTTACGAAGGTGACCGCAGTACAGGTCTGGGGCGTGGAAGGTTCTTTAAAGAGTTCGCGTTTCTGTAGATAATGACAGGAGATTGAAAGCTTTCTACTGGATGAGTGGGGTGAAAAGTTGACGCTTTTAGAGAAGGTAACGTGCCGGATTTAGGAGGTTTGCACCAAAGTGCAAATCGCTGTCTAACAGAAAAGAATCCATTAATAACACCTAGAAGCCTGTGGACAAAAGCTTTGGATTTTGTTAAGCGTTCGTGGAATGAATCCAGCAGAGTGCTTTACTGTAGAATTTGCGTTGTTCGGAGTTATGATTTCATAATAAGAATGTGACTTCATCATGTTGTGAAGGGTGTCCTGCAGCTGTGGACTACATTTCAATCATAAAACATGAATGATTGGAAACAATTGCGTGAATGAAGACCCGGGTGTTCATGTGTTATACACAAAGCAGAAACAGAAATAGTGTTTTCAGTTGCATCTAATGAAAATACTATTTTTGTTTTTCAACTTCAGGTTAAGTAAGAACATAAAAAAGTACTCGTACCTCTTCGATAGTCGTGGTAGTCTACTGTGAAGAAATTTAAAAGGTAATTAAAATTTAGGAAACAAAGAGCTTAAATTAGAAAACTAACCATAGTGTTAGTTTGCATTACCTGGACTGTACCCATCAGTATAAATTAGACCAAAATTAAACTTGAAATCTTGTTCAAAACCATCTGAAACACCACGAATATCCATGAAATTGCTAATCACATGAAAACCAAAATCACAAACACACGTGCGCCAGGCAGATTTGTTTCAGACTGCACTCTCTCGAAAATCAGTTCCCACAAAGGTATTTCCACGCTGGGGCCAGTTCAGACCAGGCCGCGTTTCACAGCCCAGTGCTGCAGCTGAGCAACACACAACTGGGCTTTCACTCTAGACATCAGAACGGTCTGCGCATTCATGTCAATCCGTATTTCACAGGCGCTCCAGCACGGGACCTACTGTGCAAGCAGGAGAGCAGAAGTGGCATGCGGCTTAATTTGCCGAGCTGAAGGGTTTTTTTTGTGCTATTCGATCTGTGAACTGGATATGCCGAGTGTGAGGGATCGAGGACAAATGCATGCCTGGCTATGGCAGCAGTCCGGAGGTAAAGATGTTCCCGCTGCACTTCCAGAGGAAAGAGGAGAGGAGAGCAATCCCAGTGCATGGTGCAAACTCCTGGGTCAGAGATTCTGTCGGACGTTGAGATCTTTTTACCAGCAGCTCTGCGTTCTGCAGCACAGTCCTGGAACGCTGCTAGAAGTTTCCGCAGAAGTGTAATATGGCAGAAGGCACCATTTTTGCAATGTTGTGAACGCAGTAGTGCCCTAATTCTCTGGTTTCAGCAACAGCAGCAGCTGGCTGGTAGCAGGCTGCAGTACAGGTTTGAGTCGCTGCTCCACCTAAGGGTTAAGAACTCGGCGACCTCAGCCCGGCGTCATGTGGACCGCCGCCAGCGAGCGCTGAAAGGAGGCGATTGAGCAGGGCGGCCTGCGGGTGAGCTCAGCTCTCACGACAGGCCCGGGCCTGGATGGACCAGCTTTCTGCCTCGGCGTTTCCCTGGCACCTCAGACTGAGGAGACACGTTTGTGCTCGTGTTGAAAACCAAAACTTTTTTACTGGAAAAGAGCTCGTTTTTGAGGTGCTGCAGCTGACTTAAGTGCTGTAGCCCAAACCTCCAAAGCTGAGCCACAGAATACACCACAGCCCAGCTGAACACTCTGCAGTCCTGCACTCTCTTCACTGAACACTCTTCAGCCCCGCTCTCCCTCCACTGAACACTCTGCAGTCCTGCACTCCCTCCACTGAACACTCTGCAGTCCTGCACTCCCTCCACTGAACACTCTGCAGCCCTGCACTCTCTCCACTGAACACTCTGCAGCCCTGTACTCTCTCCACTGAACACTGCGGCCTAGCACTCCTCTACTGAACACTCTGCAGCCCTGCACTCATCCTACTGAACACTCTGCAGCCCTTTACTCTCTCCACTGAACACTGCAGCCTAGCACTCCTCCACTGAACACTCTGCAGCCCTGCACTCATCCTACTGAACACTCTGCAGCCCCTGTACTCTCTCCATTGAACACTGCAGCTCATCACTCCTCCACTGAATGCTGTAGCCTAGCACTCCTCTACTGAACACTCTGCAGCCTGGCACAACCTCCACTGAACACTCTGCAGCCTGACACTCCCTCTTCAACTTCGTTTTCTGACGGGGCACAGCAGCCCAGGGCTCCACATACTGACGTCATACTGCATATCTGAGGTGAATGCAATATGATGTGGTTTGCTCTGGGCACCAGAGGGTTAACGCTGGAATCTGGGTGGCGCTGGTGGTAGTTTCTGAAGGCTGTGGTGGGCTGGGGGGTGGGGGTTTGGGGGGGGGTTACCATCTGGTTTGAGTTGGAGACATTCCTTTCAATGAGTGTGTGCTCAGAGGTCAGGAAAGGGGGTGGTATAAGAGTGATCTGTCTTTATTTTTCACCGGTTTGTAGGAAACAACGAGAAAAATGCATTACTCACACCGGAGATCTGGGCTGTGTGATTGTTTTTTGTGTCTGACTTTTGGCTTTGTCCATCCTTCTCCTGATTGTAGCTATTGGCCTCCCCCAGCCCAAACAGTTGAGCTAACCTCAATTTAGAAGCAAAACTGGTCGTATAAATTTCACTTTTCTTTTTACACACCGCAAGATCTAAATAGAAATAAAATCGCACATTGTTATTATACACTGCTTATATAAAGCGGAATTCAAGGTTTTATGTGTGTATTTTTCAACGTGTCACCCTATGATTTAGACTGAAAACAGTAATTTAAAGGCATTTCAGTATGAACTGCTCTCAGCGCGAAGCAAACAGAATCTGCTTGCAGGAGGTGTGCTCTCGGCAGACTCCGCAGAACGTCTGTGTCTGTGTGCAGAGGTCCTCTCGGGGCAGAACCTCCCAGTGTTTTGGGGTTTCTCAGCTTTCCAGGCAGATCCACTCTATCTGAAGAGGCACAGACTTACACTGCATACCCTTACAAAAATGACTTTTGAATTGTCATTATGTTAAGCCTGCATGCTATGTGCGAAAAGCTGTTAAAATAAAATGGAACGTACCCCAGATTTCATGCATCTTAAAGTCGGATTATTGTGTGATTTATGTGGGGTTTTTTTTATGAGACCAAATGTTCTATCCCCTTATTTGCGATGTGCATCTGCTCTTCCTCTGTGACGCATGCCTAGAAAGTGTAAATATTCACTACGATGTCGAGAACAAGACCGGGTCCCACAACCAGGTTCAGCCCCGGTTGGAGTCTTTCCTAGCGCTTGGGCTGCTGGCGATTTAACAAGAGCTAGAGACCTGCAGGCGCAGCCCTTACTCAATTAAAATCTTTCCTTTCTATGAACTCTGGTAAGGCTGTTTTCATTGACTGTACGTTTCACCCAAGAGGAAGGAATGCTGTTTGACAGTTTGACCTGCTGCATTCACTTTGTCTAATTGTTTTCCTTTAAAAATTGCTTTTCATTCCTATGGCTTTAATACGCTCTCACTGTCCCACACTGGACCGGCGTTCAGTCCTTAAGAGGGCTGGGCTCTACTGAGCTTGCGAACTATGGCGATTTCATCACTGTTGGGTGTGATCAAAGCAAAAGCTGCATCAGCCTGTCTGGGACAGGTGAGGGAAAGATGAATTATTGCCGGGTGCAGGGGAGACTCTCAGAGTGAGATAAAGAATGAACTGAAGGCTACCTGCTCACTTTATTGCTAAGATCTGGTCATGGTTTAGTATCAGAGTCCTGCCACAGGTCTGCTCAAAATATTGATGGTCTTTTGTCTAGAAGAAAGCGTTTGGGAGATTGTGGTTTAGCTCCTTGACTGATTCTGAAAGTTTCGGCAGTGTGCACCTCTCCTCAGCCCGACACGCCAGCGAGGGTCTGCGGGCGACGTTCTCAGGAGGGGCCTGCCCCCCCTGAAGGGGCGCCGGGGTGCCGGG